AAAGTCAATCTTGTTTACATAAATAAATACATAAAATTTAGATTTTTGTTCACATCAGATAGTTTTTTTAATAATTTAAAAATATATATTTGTAGATCCAAAGAACCTTTGAAAATATGTTTCCACCATAGTGTCTTGTCTTTTTTGCGATTTCAGTTCAGATCGTGTAGATGGAAACGAACAAATATAAAACTTCAGAAATCGATCTAAAACAATATTATTATTACAGAGTAATTGATAGTAGTAAAATTCTTGATTCATACCTTTTACTAAATAAGGAAGACACTTCTTAAAAAGGATTTTCTTTATTTCAATTGTAGCAGAGTTTGTTGGAAAAGAATTTAAGTTGTTTTTAAGTTGTCAATGGACCATTTTTATTTTGACTGTAGTAGGAAGGCGGTCATTGATGAAAACAAAAAAAATCCAGTCTGAAATAATATGTAGTTGTAAAAAATATTTTTGTAAAAATATTTCTACATTTGTACCAATTTTGTATGTAAAACTTTGGATCGGTGATTTTCTTCTTTGTATGTTCAACTTTGGATTCAATAATGCTTAGGAATCTATAAGAAAGTTGTTATTAAAGTAATACGATATTAATTATATCAAACCTTTTCATAGATTGTAAAAAACGTAAGTATTTAACATCAAAATTAGCACTATCCATTAGTTTGTGTTGATTTCGATGTGTTCTCAATCGAGAGTGATGTTGAATTAAACGTACTTATAGAAAAAAAAAAACTCCAGAAATTGACTAAAACAAAATTAGTTAATTAGAATTTCCTTTTGTAAATGCAGGATTTTCTTCAAAAAAATTTCAGTGATCTTTGTTGGAAAAATATTTAATTTGCCATCAGATTATCGAGAAGATATTTCCAATTTGAGGCGTAGTAAAGACGTAGCCAGTTAGAGAAAATTAAAAAAATTCAATCTGAAATAATAGTTTTAAAAAATATTTATAAAATATGTTAATGTGTTTTTACTATTTTCTTAACTAACAGTCTGCATTGGTGATTTTCTATTTTTGTACATACATACTTTCTATTCAAATTAGTCTGAATTGGAAAGCAGGTACTCAAAATTGTTATAAATTAAGAAGTTTGGACCTAAAACAAAATTGTTATTAAATCAATAGGAGGACACAAAAATATATGAAACCTTTTTTTTGACGTTGAAGAGATTTCATAACCAACACAAAAAATCTGCTATTTTTCATGTTGAGATGTAGATATTTGATTAAAAAAAACATAGTAGGTAAGCATGTCGGTTTCAAAAAACATTAACAAATTTATTGTTGATATTATTCCAAAAGTAGTATAACGTATTTAACGTCAAAATCAGCATCCATTAGTTTGCGTTATTTTCGTTGTGTTTTCAGTTGAGACTATAGAAAATAAATGTATAGAAAAATAAACAACTAATTTGTTTGTAAACAACTGAAAAAAAAGAAAAATATCTATTTTGAAATAATATTTTAAAAAATCTTACCCAACACTTGACCATATTTTTCCATTTTTGTATTTTCAGTTGCTCTGGATCTAAAAGAGTCAGAAATGTTATAAATAGAAAACGTCGGATCTAAAACAAAATTAATAAGAAACTAATATCAAATACAATTGTATTTCATGTTTTTTCTTGATGTTTTTCTTTTTACTTTAAAACATCTTTTACATACATCTGAACTTACAGATAAAGTTTTCTTCATTCAAACTGAAGACGTTTGTTGAATCATTCCTTTTTTTACATTAAATCAGAAAAAATATTACATTAAACCTGTTGTGTTTTAGCATTTCATTTTCTGTAAATTAAAAATTTAATGAAATGACAACAGTGTACTTAATTTTAAATTACTTACAATCAGTGTTTTTTAATGTGTTCAGTTCAAATTGTTGCTGCTCCAAACTTAATTAGAAAAGCTTAAAAAAATAATCTAAAACAAAGTTATCAAAAAAATTATATGAAAATTTATAATAATTTACCGTTGCATAAACGAAAATTATTGTTTTTTCTAGATGGTCTTTATTTTAGTGACGAAATATGAAGATTTCAGTATGTTTCCAACATTTTTGGTTCTTTTTTTTATTGTTATACAAAAGTTTTAGATATAAATTTAAGAAAATTTATGATTTTTCAATATTTACAATTCAATTTGGGATTTAGTTAGCCGATTAAAAATTCTAATCTGAAGAAAAATATTAAAATTATTTAATGAAAAAAATTGTAGATTTCCTTACTTTTTCAAAGGTCCAGTTGTTTCATTTATTTCCGTGAACAGTAATTTTTGATTAAATTATTATTTTCTTGAGAATAATACAAACAATTATTGTTGCCTATTATTATATGTTAATTATTTAAAAAAAAAAAATTTCTTACGTATAAATTGATTAAAATTAAATTTACTTATATTTGGTGTTGGTATTTGTGTGTGTATATATTTTGTTATTGGTATGGTTGATGTCTTAGACTGGAACTTGTTTAGCCATCAGAAATGGCAACCCGAATGTCCATAGGATAAACGGGACCTGAGTCACTTAAGAAACGGGATTTATATGTTACAATATGTAACAGAAGCACGTACTCGGAAAGTACGGTGCAACAAATTCACAGTCTGTGTAAGATTACAAAAATCATAAAAAACGCATCCCTTTCAGGGGGTGTAGCTCGCTTACGTAACATTTTTTGATTCATGTTCATAGGAAACTTTTGTCTTAAAATTGAATATTCTATCACCTGTTTAAATTTGTAACAATAAAAACGGAACAACCCTGTAATGACTTATTCACCTATATATTATTACCAAACAATCAAAAACAATTTATACATTATGGAATTATAAAGATTAGCAATTAAATTAATTATCTTTAATTTTTTCATAAGCGTAATGAAAAGTTTCTTAACAATTTTTGAATGGTGATAGAAGACTTTCAACTAAACATAAAAATGAATTCAGACTTTTTTTAAACCTCTTTTTTTGGGAAATACAAAACTCACAATTTTCATATTATCATGTAGGCAACTTGGGTCTTTTGTTTCTAATGTTGTCGGATTTAATTTATTGTTAAATTTGCTAGTTTGTTAAATAATTTCTACAACATAAAACCCATATTCGTAATTTTTTTAATAGATATTTGTTTAGTGTTATTAGATCTGCTGTTTCTGCTAATAAAATTCAACAACACATGTTCTGAACAGTCCAAAGTTTAAGCCAAAATCTAACCTTTCAAGAGCTATATCTTGTGAAAAAAGGTTTAAACAACTTTATGTCATGGGAATTTTTAACTCATTTCGATATATTTTATCACCATCCAAGAAATGGTACAACATTTTGGAATCATCCTGTATATACAGACTGTTTATGATGCATGTTGAAGTTGAAATTTAAAGCAGTTGATATGTACAGTAGTAGAAGACTACTAAAATACATTTTTTTTACTTAATGTTTTTATTCATACAAAAAAGTTTTTAATTGAATTTTTAATTTTCTAATGTTGATGTTCCGGAATCAGACGAGTTTACCCTCCAAAAATGCCCCCAGCGCTGTTATGAAGTACCTTTTTTCCGTCAAGGCACCAAACTCTAATGTTACACTTTCCGCTTCTTCGTAAATTATTAGCGTTGCAGTTACTGTTGGTTCTTCATTTTCCTCATCAGAATCTGGTTTACCATCATCGTACGTTCTTATATCGGTATCATAAAAACCAAAAAAGACTCTGCCATTTTCTAAATTTCTGTGGAAGTCATTCTGTACTGTAAAAAAATTAAAAATGAAATTCAATGTGAAACACCATTAATGTTTATTAAATATAGTATACATATTTAAATTAAGTGTAATACCTATACCAGGTGAATAAAAAGTATGGAACGAAGCGTTTTTCTCGTAAACTAACCACTTTACAAAAAAATAATTAGTGTAGCGTAAAGTCCAATTAAAATGTGACCATTTATCAAGAATAACATTTTTTGAAATTTTTTTTAGTTTTTGAGTTCTGGAATTTTTTTTTTTTTAATGGCAACCCACTATGGTAATTTTTTTAATTAAAGATTATGATCTAAAAATGACCTCCAATTAAACAGAATTGTTTTCTAGTCAG